AATGTTCACTGTAATGAAAGATCTCTTTATAGTGAACATATTATATAATTTAGTGTAAAGTTCACTATAACGAGAGTTTTTATTTAAATATTTATAGAATAAATAATTACACATAAATAATGAGTTTTTACATATTAATATAACTATCCAAAGTAACTTGCTGTACAGATTCTCGATTTAATCTTTTTATTTTTTCTTTCATGGAATTAAAAGCTTTTAGTTCTTCCATTTTAACATTGAAATTATCAGGCGGGTTTTTACAATATTTGATAATTTTTTCTATACTGTCAAGGGCTTCCATATTAGAAATAACTGCTACTTCTTTTTCTTCCTCTTCTGGATCATTAGTTTCAACTACTGTTTCTTGACTTACTGCTTCTACAATTTGATCATCAGTCAGTTCTTCTATTGGTATTTCATCATCAATACGGATGAAAGTTTCTGCACTCAATGAATTTTCTAGGTCCAATCGATTATTATATTCTTGTAATTCAGAAGTAACATCATCAATTTCAGTAACATCACCAACATCACCCATAAAAGTATCTTGATCAGAATCCTGCTCATCAGGTAAAATATTCATTTTTCTCCAACAGTTTCTAATAGTACTAGATTTAACACTTTTCCAAGCTCTATTAGTGAAAGTTATAGCATCAAGAATATCAAGTGGTGAGATTTCTGAATTATTTTCTTGTGCTTGATCATATGCATCTATTCGATTAGACACTAAAATTTTTCTGTACTGAGCCTTGAAACTATTTATAATACCTGCATCTAGAGGCTGTAAATGTGCAGTAGTATTTGGGGGAAGGAAATGAATTTTAATGTTTGATAATGGCACATCTTCATTTAATAAATGAGTTGGAGCATTGTCTGCCAATAATAAAATAGATCTCCTTTCTTCCCTCATGATTTGATTTAATTTGAATAGGTACTGTTTCCAGATAGACGCAGTTTTGTTCCAAAAATACCAAACAGGTAAATCATCTTTTTTGATTCCTCTTAAAACTCTTGGTGTTTGCCATTTGTGTATAAATAATGGAGTTAATTTATCGCTCCCATCAGCATTACATGTCAAAACAATAGTAACCCTATCCTTTGACTTTTTAGTACCAGAAATGAAGTGATCTGAAAGTGTTTTGGATGGTTCTAAATTCCAATATAATGCAGTTTCATCAACATTGTAGACATCATGAGATTCATAATCCTGAATAACTTCTTTTAATAATTTTCTCTCATTTCCTAATGTTTCTAGTGGGGCACTATTTGCTTCACCTGATTTAAAGTACTGTTTTATATGATGACGGTTTTTGAATTTTGCCAACCAACCATCTGACCCACTAAAACCTTCTTTTTGTAATTTGCAATCCTTTTGACTTCAATATATCTCCAGAAATGGCTATATTCGAAGATAAAGCTTGTTGCATCCATAAATATAAAGCGGCTTCAACTTCAGGAAATTTTCCTCCCCTCTCTCATTTTTGATTACTCAGATTTTCATTCTTAGATAACCATTTTTCCTTATTTTTTAACACACTGGAAATTAATGACCTTGATACTTCAAATTTGTTTGCAATATTTTCTAGAGTTTCAGATGGATAATTATTCTTCCATTCACATATTTCTTTTTTCTCACCAAATGTTAAATTTTTTCTTTTATTATTATTTTTATCCATATTGATAAATTTTGTTTTTACATGAAGTTTTTACAGTCATCTATTTATAAGTGTTTATTTTACTATTAAATAATAATGACATCGAACACAATATTATGCAATCATTACATATTAATATGTAAATAACTATATTTCCATTACAGAAATTTGTAATTATTACCATGTATTTCATATGGACCATGCAATATTTGCGATGGCCTCACAAATTTACAATTTTTGTAATTGTCAAATTGTCATAAACTTACATCAAGATGATGTAGATATTAGATATGTAAATTAATGTTGATAAATGTATGGTATTGTCATTATGGTAATAAACATGTTAATATTGTAACAATATTAATTAGAATGTATTTATAATAACGCGATCATAATTTATTTGAATCAATGTGTTACTATTTTAGTAAAACAAAATTATCATGAACATAATTATGATGTTGTTTAAATCAACCAATAATATGAAGACCTGTGAAAGACCTGTGATCAACGCCACGTGATTTCCACTGTAATGAGATTTATTTCCTATCATATGGCAAGCCAAACAATTCAAAAGTCATTTTGATTTATGATGTGCATTGTTTTAATTTATGGTGTGCACCATTTTTATTTATGGTGTGTATTGTTTTAATTTAATGGTGTACATCATTTTTATTTATGATGTGCACCATTTTTATTTATGGTGTGCATCATTTTAATTTATGATGTGCATTGTATTATAAAATTTCAAGTTAAAATATTTTTTGATTTCTTAAATTTAATTAAAAAATTTAAAAAATGAATAGTTCTCAAATACAAAACCAAGTAATTGAACATGTTCAAAATACTTTAACAAGAGCAAATAATGCCTTGATTCAATCCAATGATTCAGATTATTTACAAAACCAATTGATTAATCTTGAAAGAACTATAAGTTTGTTGTCCCATTTAATTTATAATGTGACTGAAAGTAGCATTCATTATCAAAATTTAATTCAGAATTTGATTTTATCTCAGCAAACATATGAACAATTAAATAATAAAATATTTCTACTAATTGACCAAATTGGCCCTGAAATGCTTTTTGTAAGTCCACAATCATCAGGTGGTAGACCAAAATTAGAAGTTTCTGAAAATGCAATGATTCTATTATGCTCAGAAGGATTCTCTTGGGTAGATATTGCCAATATCTTTGGAATAAGCATTACAACAC